TTACTGCTCAATTAATTTTGCTTGGAAGATATCTTTGGAAAAATTATATTTCATAGAAATATTTATTTCGTATATATATATATTTCGAACTCGATCGGTTTAACTTCCTATTAACGCAGAAAAAAAAGGTGCAAGATAAAACATTAATTGTGTAACCGAAAAAAAAACAGAGTCTGATGGGCGGATGGTGGGGCCATTATAGTTTCCATTGCCAACCTGTGGACTATAGCGACAATCCAATCGCGATAAGGGTAAGTTTTGGTATTTATAGTTTCCTCAGCAGATGGATCATCGACCGCCATTTCAACGAGACGGACCTCAACAAATGCTAAATTTTATTCTTTAACGATTTTTATATGCGTATACGTATAAATATAAAACAAAAAAATAAAGTTACATGATTATTTTTTAATTTTCCAAGTATAAAAAATTGACTTGCTTTTAATTTTCTAGATTCCAGAGATTAGTGTGCAAATATTTTTCTAAATTTAAAGTATCGTGGATGTTTTAATTTTATACATATTTATGTATCTTTAATATTATGATATATTTTTTGATCAATTTTAATTTTTATTACATCATATAATATTTATTTTTCCTAATATTAATTTCTTTCTTGGATTCTCAAAATAATTTGGCAACTTACACCATTATGATTCTAATTTATATTATATATAATTGATTGATTTGTAACATGTGATTTGTTTGATTATTATTATTATTATATTTAAACTAGTATATATTTATTATATTATATTAAAACTATTAAATGTAATAATTATTATATTAAAACTAATGTAATAACGTATACGCATATTTCGACGATTAAAAATACATTTTTGAGGGTCATGGATTGTAGAAATTGAAGAATTTGTGCTATGATGCAAATTATCTTATGCTTTGTAGGCAGCCAACCAAGGGAGGAAACCGCCTTTGAAGGAAGAGTAAATTATACTATTCCGCTTGTTGCTTTTTTTTATCTTTATTTTCATATCTCTATATAAGGTATTGATATATTTCTGGAATATCTTTTAAAATCGATTCTAGAGATCGAAACGAATATAAAAGTTAATATACAAAAATTTTGATTATTTATTTATTTTTTAACTTATAAATAATCGAAGATGGATAAAATGAGATAAGATAGGGACAACTTTATCTTCATCGTATTGTCTCTATCTTGTCAATATAAATTTAAAAACTGTTTATAACATAATTAATAAATTATTTTTGTGTATTATTTTTATTACGTCTAGAATCGATCTTCCAAAAATATATTTATTTTGGTACATGTATTTCTTTCCTTCATCATACACAATCACACCGTTCCATTTGTGCTAATTAAGTATATGTATAATTTAGCATGTTTGCATGCACATCAAAGATATCACTATTTTCAAATTTTTTTTCCATCAAATCCATCGATATCGAGAGTTCAATCGGTAAACGATTTACACAAGCTCGATATCCAGGTGAATTAATCACTTTGATTCGAAGGAGAAAATCTTTTGGGGGAAAAAGATTTAAAAAAAAAAAAAAAAAAAAAAAAAAAAAAAAAACGATAAAAATAGGTAAGAATTATTTTGAACACATGGATCCATTAATGGATAACTTCACGAGTGTCGAATATTTTAATCTTTTGTCTTAACGCACACAATCGTCCAATTATTTTATCACAACATATAGCACGATTAGTTTTTCTTATGAGAATTATGCACATGCGCACGCCCCCTTTCTTTTCTGCGCCTTTCTCTTTCGTTTATTTATTCTTTTCATTGATCGGAGAATGGCCTCTGGGCGGTTGTGGTTGCAGATAGGAATGTCCGGATGGCTGACTGGCGACTATTCTCTAAGGTGCCAACCCGTAGACTACAGTGATCGACCCCAAGTACTAAGGGTGGGTGATATTCCCCATTAACACGCAAAAATTACACTAAATACAATCTCTGCATTTTATTAACTGCACACGATTATAAACTATGAATTATTTATTATTACAGGATTAGGGAAAAATTTAAATTGAGATATTAAAAAAAAAAAAAAAAATGTTTTCACAACCAAATACTATATTTGAAAATATTATTTCGTTGAATATTTGAATCAAATATTACTTGAAAATATTATTTTTAGGGTCGTTCTTAATGGGGATACAAAAGGTGCGGCCCCTAGACTAGAGATAAATATCGATATATCAATAATATAGTTAAGTTATCGAATAAAAATTATTGAATAAAAGTAATTAAAATTCAAAATAAATTTCAAAACAGAAATTTTATTTTTAGTTTATAATTAAGCTTTTCATATATTTTTATATATATGATATATGATTTCGATATGTTATATTTTATTGTAAAATGCTAAGGTAAAAATTATTTATTCGAAATATTATTTTCTTACATTTCAATCAAATATTTATTTAAAAGTAGTAGTATTTATAGAAATTATTTTTAAAATTTATATTTAAAACTAGTACTATTTCTTTACATAAGTAGAGTAAATATTATTTCAAGAAAAAAAAACTTTATTTTCATGCAGAATTTTATATTCCTTTAAGAAATAAAAATATTTATTTCTATTTTTTTCTATTTTTGCAATTTTATAATATTTTATATATATATAAATTATTATAATATATATAATTATATTATTAATTATAATATATATAATATATATAATTTTATAATATTAAAAACAATATTAACAAAATTTTGGAAGGAATTCGATAATATAAATTTGAAAAAAATTGAAGATACAATATTTGAAATCTCGAAGAGGATATTAAAAAAATTTTAATTAAAAAAATTTCTGAAGTAGATAAATAATAATAAATATTTTTATTTCTTAAAAGAAAATTCTGCGAATAAATTTTTTTTTCGAATAATATTTATATTAAAAGAAATAGTTTCCCGATCGAAAAATCACATTTCAACTATACTTTATAAAAAAATTATTAAAATTTGAAGATATAAAAATATTTCAAAATTCTGAATTTAAAAATTTGTTTAATTCATAAATTTAATGATTCAAATGTTATACATATTTCGAATATAATCATATGTATTTTTTAACATTGTCTTTTTGAGAATTTTTTCTAACAAATTTCTGGGATGATTGAAAATTTTTATATTTTCTTTTCTATTAGTAGTTTCTTCTGTTAGTATTACTCTATTTCTATTTAATTTTTAACATTACGCCATATGCCTATATGCCACTAAATTTCCTGTAGTATTTGAAAAATATTGTAGTTAATTTAAACTAACATACTTTGAAACAAATGCTTCATGCAATTAATGCCATTTAACAAGTAGAAAACAAAGATTTAAAAAAACAGACACCACTTACACGACGACAATTACATTGATTATCATGATTACACAGATGCACAATACAAAGTTACGACTGTTCATCGACGTAAACCTATCAAAGGCAAATCTTTGGAAAATTTTATAATTTTTTTTTTTTCATAATTATATCATATTTTTCATCATGAAAAATATCTTTTATTAAAAAATGGAATACAAAAGATAACGCCATAATCTCCAAGGATTTGTATTTTTCACCATATTCGTGTCAAGAGCAACGTTAAAGTGATTATCTAATCGATATTTTTCAAAGCGCAGATGGTGCACGCTTGTTGGTGGTATTATTTCTCCAAATTTACGGAATTCATGGATACGGTATGTAAAAATTTATAGATTGGAATTGAATACTTTATAAAAATTTATTCGTTCATTATAAATTTATCCACTAATAATCATCTTTGTAGATCTTCTTTGTATTAAGGAAGAAGAACGATCACGTGTCAATATTGCACGTTATTCACCATGGTTGCATGCCAATGTCAGTGTGGTTTGGCGTTAAATTCACACCAGGTAAGCGAAATTTCTTTATAGAATTAAATTTTATTTTGAAGTACCAATATTTTCTAAACTTTTTTTGTATTTTCTAATAGTACTCAATAATGTATAATCATTTAAAATTAAAAATATTAATTGAATCAAAAGTTATCTATATCATTTTCACTGATCAAATAAAAAGATATAATAAATGTTTCAAAAAGCTCAGATTAGATTAAATATTCAAATAAACTGTATAATTTAAAGTTGATTGAATGTAAAAATAAGAATGTATAAATATAATGACTTAAAAATACTTATATATAACTTTTAAAATATTAAAATATTATCACAAAGTACAATTTAGAAAAAAATAATTTGGAAAAGAACGTCAAAATTTAACCTTTCTTTATTATATCATATATATAAACATTTAAAAAATTTTAAACATTTAAAATTTTATCATTTGATTTTTTTTTTCTAGGCGGTCATTCTACTTTCTTCGGGCTCTTGAACACATTCGTTCATATAGTGATGTATACATACTACCTGTTGGCCGCGATGGGTCCAAAATTACAACCATACCTTTGGTGGAAAAAATATTTGACCGTCTTCCAAATGATCCAATTTGTCGCGGTAATGATCCACGCGTTCCAATTACTCTTCATCGACTGCAATTATCCTAAGGCATTCGTCTGGTGGATCGGTTTACACGCAACTATGTTCTTCTTCCTGTTCAACGAATTCTACCAACAAAGCTACCAGCAAAAGAAGAGGAAGCAAACGATCACGAATGGCATGAAAAAAGATCATCAGCAAAATCATCAAACGAACGGCATGACGAATGGAGCAATGGGCAATTCGTCCGGAAGAAGAGACGCGGCCGATTATTACGTGAAAGGCGACAGTCTAGCCGCCTCGGAGCTCAATCTTAGGAAATCGTATACAACGACCGAGTGACCCGATCATGCTACGTTGTAGCCATCATCAAATTCATCTCGTCTTTTCTCATCGATTCCTCGAGTCGCATCCGGGCTTCGTTCCTTCGCCCTTCCATTCTAATGATCCTTCGGGTTCGAGTGGAGAAAACATTGAGTACAAAATTACTCTGCGATCGCGTTTGCGTGTATTCGTGAAAGGAGATAGAAAGTAAGAGGAAAAGAGTGATATGAATCAATGTACAAAGGTAGTCCCGGATGTGTTACGACTCCAATGTCACGGATCCCTGGCCTCGTGATTCAGGTATTCGTGATTCTTTTTTCGGTTCGCTGTATGTACATTTACCATGCCCGACAAGAGATAATTCGTTTTCGAATCATCCTCTACCTCTCTCTTCGAATGCGAGAAAAGAAAGCCGCCGTCTAATTGTAATTCGTATAGACTTGCAAAGTTTTGATAAGAGAAGAAAAACATTGGAGAAATTACATAAAGTGTTCATAATGTACATCGTTGTGATAATTTATAGCGATATAGAATGATAATATCGAAGGATGATAATTGTTTTTTTATTGACCATAATGAAATTCAATAGTGAAATATCAAAAATGCATCTTCGATATCTATAAATAACGAACAATATTCTCACTTTATTAATGAGAACATTTTTCGGATGAAATTACCTGATTTTATTGTAATCTCATATTTTAGATTATAAACATTGTTAAAAATCATTTTTCTATTTACATAATGTTCAAATATATATATATATATATATATATATATATAT